GCGTGGGGGCAGGCCGTGTCGCCACCTTTTTCTCCTTGACCAATTCGTCTGCTTCTTTCCTTCTTAAAGATCTATTTATTTGTTTATTTGAAAGGCAGAGGTAAGTTGACAGAGAAATCTTCTAATCGATCTTCTATTTCCAAATGGTTGCAACACCTGGCACCGGCCAGGCCAGGAGCCAGAGGCCAGGAGCCAGGACCTGCACGGGCCCCGCCAGGAGCCATGTGGGTGGCAGGGACTCAAGCACTAGTGATGTGACACAGCTGTGTTAATCTTACTCCAGGTTCTTGTCTCACACATAGATAAGATTACCAAGTATAGACACATACAGGTGCACAACACCATAGCACACTTAAAAGGTGAGAATGGGGTCTAACTTGATGGCTCAGTGGCTAAATCCTTATCTCGCAAGTGTCAGGATCCTCTATGGGCACCGGTTCCTACCCAGCTCCATTTCCCATCGGCTCCCGGCTAGGGGGAGGACAGCCCAAAACCTTGGGACCCTGCATCCATGTGAGAAACCTGAAGAAGCTCCTGGCTCCTGGCTTTGGACCAGCTCAGCTCTGGCCATGTGGCCACTTGGAGAGTACATGGGGTGCCCTCCCAGGAGAGATTCCTGTGCCATGCGGGTTGTTGGCCTCTTTTACAAGATACAGGTGTGAAAACACCTGGATCTTTTACACTTAGCTTAGTAAATTCCCCATTGGCTTTATGTCCATATTTAATGGATTAATGGTGTCCCTCCTAATGGTCCCAGATGAGACAGCTGACTTTACCTCTGGGCTCCGGAAGGCTTCTGATTCGACTTGCGTGGACCTCTCTGGCTACCCTGTGACACTGCATCACCTGGACCACCACTTGCTGCTGTCCAGGCCCATTCCCAGGGAGCTGGGCTAGAAGTGGAGGCAGGACTGTATCTAGGCACTCCTGACAGATGCACATGTCCCAGGCTGTGGGTCATCCAGCTGCACTGCAATTCACCGTGCCAAGGTCGTTGGTTTCCAGAGCCATGCCACCCTCCCCACCAGGGCGCCTGGTTGCGCTTTCATCCCTGCCCCACCCCCCTCAGGCACCAGCAACCACTGATCCACTTCCTGTCGGTGCCTTCTGAGCCTCCCCTGCACGGAAGCCTGTGTGCACCGGTGTGATTGGCTCCCCCTCCAGCAGAACCTCCCTGGGTCCTTTATAAGGTGTTTTGCATCCCTGGGTATGAATACACCCGGCTTTTGTAACCATTTGTTGAGTAATGGTCATTGCTTTTTTTTTTCTACTCTAGCTATGTATACACATAGTATCAACATTTGTATACACTTTACTTTTAAACATTTATTTGTTCCTTTAAAGTCAGAGCTGCACAGAGGGAGGTCTTCCATCTATTGGTTCATTCCCCAGATGGCCAGAATAGCCAGAGCTGAGACAACTAAAGCCAGGAGCTTCTTGGGGTCTCCCATGAAGGGCTGGGGCAGGAGGAGTTGGGCCATCCTCCATTGCTTTGTTCGGCCATAAGCAGACAGCCGGATGGGAAGTGGAGCAGCCGGGACCTGAACCGCTGCCCGTATGTGACGCTGCTGTGTGCGGCAGCTCTACCCATTATGTAACAATCCTGGACTATTTTAGTTCTTAGTCATCTAAGATATATTTTATTGTTGAATTGCTGACTTATAAGTAGCAAGATCTAGGAATATGGTGTGTGATTTTGAACATTCTAGATTTCAGTGAGAGCTTTATTCAAAGCCTACATCGCCAGGCTTCTGAACGCCATTGCAGGCCCCAAGCTGAGAGCCCCCACGAGTGAGCATTCCCACCGGAAACCCCAGCTTCCCAGTCGTCTTAGGGGGCCGCATCCTCCCAGGCCTGGCTTCAGGGCTGTCTTTCTGCCTCCCCTCTCCTGGCCCTCCCCTGTGCCTGGCTCCAAGCTTGGCAAAGCCATTCCTTGCCAAGGAGACTTTTCCAAAAAACTGCTTAATGTAACAACAATAACCAGTGGCAGTAATGAAAATTGTCAACCCTGTTGGTTTAGAATCAGAGCCATGCCCTTGCTGCCGTTCCCGGGGGAGGCTTGGGGCAAACAGGTGCCCCTGCCTCCATGTGAGCACAGCACAGGACACCTCCGTTTCCGGGGCTGCAGGGTGGAAGGAGGGTTGTGGAGGCCTGGAGCAGCCGGCACGGCGTCCCTGAGGACAGACACCGGGGCTGCCGCTGCCCCTCGGCACCCTGTTACGGTGTAAAGGTCATTCAGTTGGATCGGGCAGGCTCTTCTCCCCAGCTTAACTCTCTTGTCTCAGAGGGCTGGGGTGGAGTGGACTCCCTGGGTAGGGCAGGACAGGGGTGAGGCTGTGGGGAAGGCACCTGCCAGTCTCACCCCAGCCGGGCTCCGCCCTGGGAGCTCTGGGGGGTTGCCTTCCTGAGGTCCTGATAGCAGAGAAGAGAGGGTTGTTCCTTCAGAGTTCTAGAAGCAGCTTTAGAAAGGACCATGGTTGCCTATACTGCCTGCTCATCCACCCATGCTGGAACACCTGCTCCGTGCCATGCACAGCAGGCAGAAGGCCCGCAGGGCCCCAGGCTGATGCCGAGGGGCAGCGGTCTGCCAGGTGGGGGACAGGGAGTTTCTCAGGGATGTGGTCGGCCCCAGTGCAAGGCCAGACCCACAGGTGACTGCTGGGGCGAGTCACCTCAACAGGGTGAAGGGGTGAGGCCTCAGAGAGAAGCCATGAAGCCACCTGCTGACAGGGTTCCCAGAAGTGTCCCTGAGGGGTTCTGGGTGCGGGGCGGGGGGAGGGCAGGGAGCCGGGTGGAGAGAGACAAGATGGCAGCAGGAGGTGGGGCCCCTAGCCAGACAGGGAGGTCTGTCTGTGGTGTCGGGAGAGTTGTCCGTGAGAGGGAGGCAGGCCCAGGGCCGCAGCGGCAGAAAGGCTGCGGGAGGTACAGGAGGGGAGCAGATGAGAGCTCAGCCTTTCTCGCAGCTCCGGTTGCCTGTGCCAGCCAGTGGGAAGGGCACGATGCCCCCCCTCCCAGCTCTAGATGGGGCTCCCTTCAGCAGGGCTGGCTGGGGGAACCGACTCCGCAAAACCCTTTCAGGCCAAGTCGCCTTGGCTGAGGAGGCTGAGCCTAGGGGGCAGATGTGATAAAGCAGGGATTGGCGCTTTTTCAACTTGTTTATCTTAAACAGAGTAACAAAGAGATATTCCCAATCTACTGGTTCACTCCCCAAATGTCCACAACTGCCAGGGCTGGGCCAGGCCTCCATCCAGGTCTCTCTAGTGTGTGGCAGGAAGCCAAGCCCTTGAGTCACTCCTGCTGCTCGCCTCCCAAGCCTTCAGGGGAAGCTGGCTGGGAATCACACGGGTGAGGGGGGCAGATGAACTGGCTGTGCCACAATGCCCACACCAGGTGGTTAAAAAAAAGGGCACCCCTGTGGTACCCCAGCCAGGAGTGGCCCCACCTCCAAGCAGGAGCCTCTTCCAGGGGCAGCGCTTGAGCAGCGCTTGGGCAGCCAGCGCCTTTCTGAGCCAGGGGCCGCAGCACGGCAGGGCTTGCTGGCTGAGGTGTACACCTGCGGCGGGAGGGCGTCCTTTGGGCGGGAGCCCCGGAGCTGGACCCCATCTCTGCCGAGATGAGACAGGCAGGCTCCACTCCCTGCTCCTCAAACGCCCTGGGGGCAGCACTGCAGGCGGCCACGTCCAGTAAGTTCTTGATGACCATCCCCAACGCGGAAAACGTGCCCGGGGAATCCCTGCAGCCAGCTGTGCAGGCTGTGAGCAAGTGGAAAGTGTCCCCGTTTTCAGCTCTGCTTCAAAGTAACTTAAAAATGGAAAGATGCCCCCCCCCCAAAACAGGAAGAATTCCCTAATACACCTTCTCTGGTCTCCATCAGCAGCGCCCCCAGCTCGCATCCCCCTCAAGGGGTGCAGGGCTGTCGGGGACCGGGCCGGACGGGCAGATCCGGAAAAGTGGCTCCTGCGGGGGGGTGGGAGGAGGAAGTTGGCCCTCCGCCCTTTCCCAGGGCTCGCTTCCTTTTTTTCCCCTCCCTGGCCCCCGGCCCGGTTCCTAAGCCCCCTCCGTGCTGTGGAACGGCCGCGCCCCCCGAGGACTCGCGGGGACCCTCAACTCTACCCGTTCCGGCCGCCTCAGCCGCCCCTCAGCAGGGAGAGCAGAGCGTGCCGGCTTCCCACCCGCCGCCTCGCCTTCGGGGCCCCGGGCCTCGCAGCCGGCGCCCCCGGCCCTCGGCGCCCCCCCAGCCCCTGGGGAAAGGCGGGGGCGCAATTAGTTTCTTGCAATTAGTTTCCCCGTCTTTGTATGGCTCCATTCAAACTGCGGCGTAGCCCTCCGCGCTCGGGGAAAGTAGTCCCGCCCCGGCGTCCACGCCCGTCCTCGCCCGGCTCGGCGTGGTTTTAGACTTGGGGAGGCCGCCCGCCCGCCCGAGGCCTCCTCCGGGGCGGCTTGGGGGCCGAGCCGGGGGGCGGCGGGCGGGGAGGGCGGCCAACTCCTCGCGTTCGAGAGAGAGAGAGAGAGAGCGATGGATCATGGGGCGTCGAGAGATGGCAAACCTCAAACCACGTACAGTGGGCGATACGCCTCAACCCAACCCGGCCGGCAGCGGAAGCCCGGGGCCGCCCCTTCCCCGAGCGCCCGCCCCGGGGGCCCGACGGACGGGCGCGCGCAGCCAACCGCGGCCGCCGTCCGCCGTCCGCACCGCGCGGCGAGCCAATCGGCGCGCGCGGGGGGCGGGGCCAGGCGCCGCGTTAGGCTGCGCGCGCCCTGCCCGCGAGGCCCCGCCCCCGGCCCTCCCCGCCCGCGGCGCCCGGAGTAGTTGGAGCCAGTCAAGTGCGGCCGCCGATGGGAGCCAAAGTTGCGCTGGGCTCGGCGTCGGGGGCTTGAGGCGGCTCCGCGCGGCGCCCGTCGGGGCCTCCGCGCCTTCCGCTCGCGCCGGGGCGCTCCGGCCGGCCGCGCCCGCCCGGCCCGCGGCCCCTGCCCTCGGGGCCTGCCGCCCGGCCCGCACCCCCGGCCGGGCTCCCGCTCCTCGGAGCCGCGGGGTCCCTCAGCAGCACGCTCGCGCGCGGCCCGGGCGCCCCGCCGATGCCGGCCATGGTGGAGAAGGGCCCCGAGGTCTCCGGGAAGCGCCGAGGGAGGAACAACGCGGCCGCCTCGGCCGCCGCCGCCTCGGCCGCCTCCGCCTCGGCCGCCGCCGCCGCCGCCGCCGCCCCCAATAATGGTCAGAATAAAAGTTTGGCGGCTGCGGCGCCCAATGGCAACAGCGGCAGCAACTCCTGGGAGGAAGGCAGCTCGGGCTCGTCGAGCGACGAGGAGCACGGTAGGTGGCAGCCGCCCCGCGCCCGCCCGCCCGCCCGCGCCGGCCGCCCGCGCTCACCGCCTCGCTCCGCTTCCCCGCAGGTGGCGGCGGCATGCGGGTCGGACCCCAGTACCAAGCCGCGGTGCCCGACTTCGACCCCGGTGAGTAGCGGCCAACTTTGTTTTTGTGTGTCCGCTCTGCCGTCGGGGGGCCGGGGAGGCGGGCGGCCGCGGGGACACGCACGCTCACGCGTGGCCCGCGGACGTGTCCGTGCGCACGGGAGGCGCCTCCGGGCTCGGCGGGGAAGCGGCGGTGCCCCCCGCGCGCAGGGGAGCCGCGCCTCTCGGGGAGCCCCCAGCCGTGCACCCCACCCGCAGATCGGTTCCTGCAAGCAGTGCTTTCCAGGGGGCGCTTGCCTGGCCCCGAGCGGCCCGCGAGGGGCAGTTTGGTGATAGGGACCCATTTGCACATGTGTGCGCCCTTCCTTTATCTCTTCTTTTAGGCGAGGGGAGGGGAAGGGTGTTGCAAGGAGGAAGGCCGGGCGAGGCTTTAGTCCAATCGGAGATTCCCACCCACGAGAAATCCCCGCACCCCGGAATGGAACATCTACTTCCCTGGCTGCTGTTTTGTGTGGAAGCAAATTTAAAGTGGTACAGGGAGAAATCCAATCAGACAAAGGAATTCGTCGGGTTTTAAGGATTCAGTGCCTCTGAGGGGTTTCGGTCCAGAAAACGCCGGCGAGGACGGGGTTTTAGTTGGGACGCAGAATTCCGGAGAGCTGGAGTTCACCTCTTCCCGTTTTTTGAGGGGGTGGGGAGGAGGGGGCGGGTGGGACTGGAGGTCCTCTATGTGGGTTATATCCCTGGTTCGTTTATAAAGAAAAAGAGCTTTTCTTCGGCAGCAAAACTGCGGGGAATCGCAAGGTAGTCTTTGAAAAAGGCCGGCTCTGTCCAGCTGCTGTTACGGTGCTCAAATCTGGGTGTGTTTGAAGTGAAAAAGCCGAGGCATCCTGCTGGGGGACACTCCCCAGACAGGGCTTGATCCCCGTGGGCCTCGGTGTTTGACACCCGGGCTGATCCTGGTTGGCCCTTGGGACGGCTTGGATGGTCTGGGTCCTCCCATCCTTTGTGTGGACGACGCCCTTCCTGGGACTCCAGGTGCCGTGCCAGCCACCAGGGGAGGCACGCTGTGTTTTGGTTACAGCTGACCCTGTCTTCATTTTGTAGGTCAAGCCTGTCTGTGCTGTACACAAAGCTTGTCCCAGCTGTTTCTGAGTGGGTTAGCACAGAGCTAGAGAGAAAGTTGGTTAGTTTTGATACATTTATGTTACATTCCTTTGATGGCTTGGTGCAGGCCTGCTGGGGGAGGAAAACGCAGTGTTTGGCTGCTGGGTGCCCCTCTGCTGTGCTGTGGTCCGCTGGAAGCAGTGGGTGGCCGGGGCACCCCCGAAGTCCAGAAAGGAGTGGTGGCCACCACTCTGCGGTGCTGGCACTCTGCGGTGCCCACAGTCCAGCTCGGAGCAGTGTACCTGACTTGCTCAGAGTTCTGTCCTCCTAAGTGTGGGGAAGGGTCCTGTGAGGACCTGCCCTGGCCTTTGTGGTGAGCAGGTGCTGGAGGACCCCTGCCCTTATTCTAGAAGCTGTACTAGCAGGGCCCGTTGTGCCTGGGGGAGAATCGATTTCTGGCCCCCTTGTTGTCAGCTGAGCAATGGGACGTTCCTAGAAATGGCTGAGACATTCCTGCTAACTCCTGGTGATTTGTAAAGATGTGTTGTCATTGAACTCTAAGAGACCGGAGGCTTCCGACTTGAAATAAAAGTGGTTGGCAAAGAGTGATCGAGGTCCTTGAACTTCCCTCAAGCCTGCGTGGGGACATGTGGCAGTGACGCAGACTGGAGGGACCAACAGTGAACTGGAACACGAAGGAAAGCTACCACCTCCAAGTTTTGTATTCATTTTTCATTTTGTTTTGCTGAGAGATGGTGCAATTGAGAGGTATTTTATTCTCTACTTCACTTTCCAAATTCCTGCAATAACCAGTACTTGGTAAGGCGGATGCTAGGAGCCAGGAAGTCATTGGGGTCCCCATGTGGATGGCAGGCACCGCAGTCCAGTGTTTGAGCAGGAAGCCGAATGCCCAGCCAAGCAGTCACCACGGGAAGCAGGCCCTTGGACGTGGGATATGGACGTTACCAGCGGCAGTGTGGCTGCTGTGCCACGTGACGGCCTCGCTTTAAAAAGCCACGTATGACAGCGATGTCTGAGAACCAGAAATTGATGCTAACTTCCGTCCTGCTTGTTTGCTGTATGCCTGCTTCACTGTAGAAGTGGACAGCTGGGCTTCAGCCTGTCCAGCTCTACCTGTCACCCCAGGAAGGTGGACTTCTGTCCTTCAGATTGGTGGATGAAGTGAATAACACCACAGACCTGAAGATGTTGAGTGCTTCTGTAGGGCCTGGGCCAGATCAGTACAAAGTCACATGGCTTGGGAATTGAAATACAATCTTTTATTTTTTCTTTACAATGGAAGATAAAATTTGGCCAGAGTTAAATACAAAAAAATACATCTTTCTGAGATGTGCCCAGCTGGGTAGCTGCTGGCTTGTGGTGGCACTGGTTGCCCAGCTGCCCCACTGTTGATACAGTTTCCTGTTAATGCGGCAGAGGATGCCCCGGGGCTTGAGACCCTGTGCCCCTGTGTGAAGCCCAGGGAAGAAGCTCCATGGCTGGAGCCTGGCCCGACCTTGGCCTTTGTGGGGAGTGAGCCAGAAGGTGCAAGGCCTCTGTGTGCCTCCCTTGGTATGTAACTTGGCTTTACAAATAGGAATATTTAAAAAAAGAAAAAGTTCCCAGAAATAGCCTCATGTTCAATGGGGGTAGGGGGGCTAGTTGTCAGGTATCCAGACTAGTTTTTTTTTTTTTTAATATTTATTTTATTTTTATTGGAAAGACAGATTTACAGAGGAGATGCAGAAAGATCTTCTACCCGCTGGTTTACTTCCCAAGTGGCTGCAGTGGCTGGAGTTGAGCTCATTCAGAGCCAGGAACTTCCCCCAGGTCTCCCATATGGGTGCAGGAATCCATGGACTTGGGCCGTCTGCTGCTTTCCCAGGCCGCAGCAGGGAGCTGGTTGGGCATTAGAGCAACCTGGACATGAACCCGTGTGGGATCTTGGTGCATGCATAGCAAGGGTTCAGCCCCTGGGGTACCCCACTGGGCCCGACTGCGTCTGTCTTGTGCCAAGCCTCCCCTGGTGTCCTGGGACTTGGTAGTCAGAGAAGAGTCGGGGAGAATGTGTACTTTACCCTGTGCTAGCAAAGCAGTGAGTGCAGCAGTGTGCGGGCGCAGGAAGTCTTGAGCTGTGCATTTGTCACACTTGTCTTTCTGCTTGTCTTCTAACTGCGGGAGCACAGGGGGAGGATTTTAGGGTTCTTTAAGTTCTTTGTTTTCTTAGGATGCCAGCTTTGATGTTGAGTTGGTATTGCAATTAACTGATTAATAGAAAAAGGAGATTGTTTAGTCTTGAGGTAATGGTTCTGTAAAAAAGCAACCTTTGTTTAAACATGAAACCCATTATTTTTAATCAGATTTAAAAGTTTGTGGTTATCAGCTTAACTGTCATTTCAGAGTAGATTTACATTAGTAAAATATGCTTGCATGTGGTGTCAGTAGCTTTTGTTGAAAAGGATTTTTTTAAAAATTTATTTTTATTGGAAAGTCAGATTTACAGTGAAGGAGAGACAGAAAGATCTTCCATCTGCTGGTTCACTCCCCAAGTAAGCCACAACTACCAGAGCTGCGCTAATTCGAAGCCAGGAGCTTTTTCCAGTTGTCTCACGTGGGTGCAGGGTCCCAAGGCTTTGGGCCGTCCTAGACTGCTTTCCCAGGCCACAGACAGGGAGCTGGATGGGAAGTGGAGCAGCTGGGATTAGAACTGGCGCCAACATGAGATCCTGGCGTGTTCAAAAGTGGACTTTAGCCACTGCGCAGGGCCCTGAAATCACCTTGCAGGAGAGAGTGGCTGGCTGCACAGTCAGAGTCTGGATAGATAGGGATTGAGGACCAAAGGTAGTTTGGTGGTTTGGACTGAGTCAGTTCCCACAGCTGAAGGGCAATTTGGAACTCTGCAAACGGCAGGGGGGAGCAGGAGGAGCAGTTTCTTGTGTTCTATGCACACGCCTAGTCTCTGGTTTAGTTTTATGGTTTCTGCTGTTGCCTTTCAAGTTGATTTAAGGACAAGTGTTTGATACAGAGTTTAGGACCTCTCTGGGCACCTCCCCTTTCGTTGCCGGAGTGCCTGTGTTGCAGCCCTCCCTCCAGGGACGGCCTCTGGAGGACAGCAGGTGCTGGCTGAGGAACTGGGCTCTGGTCGGTCCCAGGGGAGACCCACATGGCCTTCTGGTTCCTGGCTTTGGTCTGGTTCAACCCTGGCTGCTGGAGTGAATCAAGAGTTGAAAGATCTTGCTATGTTGGTTTGTCTTTTTGCCTTTCAGATGAACAAGCTTGAAATAGTTTTTAAAAATTGTAAATTTGGTTTTACAAGACAGTGAAGAGGCTTGCTATAACGTTTGAGAAAAAACACTTTGAAATGGCGTTAGGCTGTCATTTTTGGTCTGGCTTTCTGTTGGAGCAGGCTGAGCCGTTACTTGTGGCTGCCTCATTGTGTGTGAGAGCGCTCTGATTCCTGATCCAGCCCTGGTTAAGTGTGTCTGGGACACAAGTGGTAAGCAGCCAGATGCTTGGGCCACTACCCTCCGTGTGGGAGACCCGGATGGAGGTCGTGGCTCCTGACTCTGGCCTGACCTGCAAATGGATGCTGTGAGCTGTTGGCGCATGAGCCAGCTGATGGAGGATTGATTGATCGTTGTCTTGCTGTCTTACTTTGCCTTTTAAATCAGCCAGTGGGCCTGGCGCAGTGGCCTAGTGGCTAAAGTCCTTGCCTTGAACATGGTCGCTGGTTCTAATCCCGGCAGCCCCGCTGCCCATCCAGCTCCCTGCCTGTGGCCTGGGAAAGCAGTGGAGGACGGCCCAAAGCCTTGGGACCCTGCACCTGCGTGGGATACCTGGAGGAGGCTCTGGGCACCTGGCTTTGATCTGCTCAGCTCCCGATATTGCAACTACTGTTTCTCCTCTGTATATCTGACTTTGCAATAAAAATAAAT